ATGTCTCCAAATGTGTACAGTATTTTGATCCTTTTTTTCAGGTTTTCGAGAAGCTTTCATTGACACATCCGACGAGCTGCGATAGCACACTGCTCATGACGCCAAACACAAATGGACTGATTAAAACAAACAGGTATCAATTGCCCTAAAATCAGTCATTAACAATTATATGGCATCAGTTGCATGTATGTTTATGCCAGCAATTCATATGTCAACAATTCATATTAATAAAATAATAATTCTAAAATACTTGGTAAGAGTGAATGATGGTAGCTTTAAATAAAACATTTTTGTGTAAAAGATTAATGGGTCATTCCCTTCTTTCCTCAAATTTGTTGCGGTTCTTTTTCAGCTGCTTCGGTCAAAATAGGCGTGTCCGTCAATATTTCAATTTTTGTATCTCAGTAACATGTGAGCTGATTAGGTTGATATCAGTGTCTTTGGACTCAATCTAAAAAAATCATGCATTCCTTTTGTATATATACTCCATTTAAATATTGATTATTATTTTATTTCCATTGTCCTTGGATTTGACATTGTGGATCACATGATCCGGAGAAGAATTTTGGTGAAAATGTTAGTCTACATGGTATCACATGATATCAAAATATCAGATATATTTGTTTGCTTTACAGCTCTTCTCAAATTTGGTATAATTGCCTCTTTTGTTTTGGTGATTTGAGAGAGATTAACCCTGATGCGCTGATCCAACTTAATAGTTACCAATAGAAGATTATTTTCTATTATATTCATACAGATTACCTTCCTTTATGAATTTTTTTAGAGATGGTTCAGCGACAATGTCGTACACGATCCTGGGCGACCCCCAGTCAGCCATTATCTCTGTGAACCAACAGGGTGTGGTGACATCAGGTGAAATTCTCGGTGAGGTGTCTGTACTTGTTGTTGCGCTTGAACGATTTGGATTGAACCAGTCGACAATTGTTCTTGTAAAGGTAAAGTTGGAATTCATACTACCTGAATGAAAATATTGATTGTTTGTTTTTTATTATAATTATTAAATTATTTTTTTTTATAAAGACCAAAGAAGGCCATTTATTGTTTCTCATACGTATCAAAAAATGTTCTTCAAGTATGTAATTTAGATACAGATATAAGAATATTAGCTTTCATTAATTAGAAACATTCCCCACTTACCGGAATTCAGTACCGTATATACTTGCGTATAGGATGAGGCTTGAAATTGCAATTACGATTAAAAACTAGGGGGTCGTCCTATACGCGTGACATACAAATTTTTAATTTATTAAAAATCATGTTCGTCTTTTGTACTGACCGTCCGTATTCACTCAAATTTACTGCTGCAATGAAGCTACTAAAATGTTAGTAGGCTTGAATGAATGCACGCAATTTTGTATACATAATGTTGAAAGTAATGAATATACAAGAGTATGTAATACATTCGGGTCATTCCATGCCAATTCAACGTGGCTGCGGAAGTCACCGTCTCGGATATTGTTTAGATTTTCAGGGTTTGTTGTAACTTTAGTAACTAAGAAAAATCTAAAATTTCAGCTCAATCGGACCAATACTTACCGAGATACCGGTGTCCGAAAAAGTGGGTGTGGCACTTTCTAGTTTGAATAGATCATTGTTATTAAACTAGGTCTAGTAAGTATTTCTAGAGTCTCATGAAGC